ATAGGGTTACCTGAAGAGAGAAAAGTAATGGGGCAAGAGAAGAAGGATGAGGAAGGACAAGAAGGAGAAGAATTAATGAGGGAATGAGAAGAAAGAAAAGGGATAGAGATTGGCGGAGAGGGATAGAAAAAGGGAGAGATAGAGGTGTTGGGGGATAAATGAAAGAAAGGGAGGGTAAGCATCAGTTGCGATATTTTCAAGGGGGGAGAGGGAGAAAAATGCGTATTGGAAAGGGATGGATAGGACGAAATGATGATTGATGGGCAGTAATAAAGAACTAGCGAGGGAGAGGAAGAAATAACGTGAGCGGGGGACAGGGTACGAAAAGGTTGGAAGGGGTAGAGGAAGATAGGAGGTACAGAGAGGTAGAAAAAAGGGGAAAGGAGGGGAAGGGATGATGGACGGGGAAGAAACAGAGGGGATAAGAATAAACGGAGAAGGTTTAAGAAAGGGGGAGAAGATCCCGAGAGGATTGGATGGGCAAAGGGTGAACTGGGGAGCAAGGGATAGAGAAATGGGTTGGGGAGAAGAAGGGAAGTGGAAGAGAATAAAGTGGATGGAATAGGCGTGAGATAACGGAGAGTAAAGAGGGGAGGGATAAGGGGAAAGCGCAAGGTGGTGAAGCGGAGAAATAGAGGAAGGAATGAGGGAGAGCGGGGAGGTAAGGGTGATGAGTGATGAAAGGGGTAGGATGGGGCTGCGAGAGAAGATGGCTCCGTGAATTATGTCTCATTAGACCGTCATTAAGTCCTGTGAAGATGAAATGGACGGCAATGACAGACGGGGTACGTCCCTCATCTGACCTCCGAGGGGTAGGGAGGGGGGGGAAGGGGACGGTGGGGATTAGGGATAGGGATGAGTGGGGATGAAAGGGAAGAAAAAGGATGGAGGAAAGGAAGAAAAGAGAAGGGGAAAAGAAAGTAATGAGAAAGGGGGGAGAGGAAAAAAAAGGAAAGGGGGGGGAGAAGAAAAAGGGAAGGGGAGGAGAGAGAAGAGAAGGGGGGGAGGAAGAAAAGAAGCAAAAGAGAAGGGAGGAAAGGGAAAAAAGGGAAGGAGGGAAAAGAATAAAAAAGGGAAGGGGGAAAAAAAGTAAAAGAGAAAGGGGGAAAACGAGAAAGGGAATGGGGGAAGAAAAAGAAAAAGGGAAGGGGAAAAGAAAGAAAAGAGAAGGGGGGGGGAGAAAGGGAAAGGAGACAAAACAAAAGGACGGAGAGATAGACGAGAGGAGAGAGAGAGAGGACGCGGTAGATGGGAAAATACGAAAGGGAAGAGAGGGAAGGAGACGAAGAGAAGGGAGATTCCACAGACAGCAAGAGAACCGACATAACAGAGGGGAAGAGGGAGAGGGAAGAGGGGGAGGTTTCGGGAAGGAAGTCAAGATTGAAAAGGGGTCTGGGGTAGGGGGAAGGGGATAGAAAGGAGGAGGGGGAAGGGGGTAGGAAGGAGGAGGGGGAGAGGCAGAGCGTGTCGGTGACCTTTCGCATGTTTTGCTTTCTTACACGGGAGGGGAAGGAGCACCTATTGAACTTTTACTTCCTCTAGACCTTTTGCTATTATTTATTTGCGCGCTCGGGAGACTTCCGAGGAGTGGGCGTCAGGCATATTTCATGAAGGTCACGTATATTTTTGTTTTCTGCGATCAGCATGTTCGTATCATCATCATCATCATCATCATCATCATCATCTTCATTCTAGGCTCATTATTCTTTTTATTATTTATAGAATCAACAATATCTGAAAAACCTTTTGAATCTCGGGTTTCATAAAAAAAAAAAAAATCGTTCTTTCTCTTGAATCTCGGGTTTCATTACAAAAAAAATCGTTCTTTCTTCCGTCATTACTCTTTCCTATTATTTCCCTCCTTCTTTGTTCTCCACATCTTCTACATCCATTAACGCGCTATTCGCATAATCAGTCCCATTTCGCCATCTCTCCGCCCTCACCGCATCCTCCTTGGAACATAGATCACCCTCGACCGCTCTAATAATGCATTCTGGCCCAATTGACCGAGGTTTTATTACCTGGTGACAAACGGCCGTTAATCATAATAATGCGCTTATTCCCAGAATCCATCATAATGCTACCTGATAATGAATATTGATATATGGTTATGATAATGATATCAATAATGATAATAGAAACAACAGTAATAATGAGAATGGCAATGTATATATATATATATATATATATATATATGTATATATATATATATATATATATATATATATATATATATTTGATATATATATATATATATATATATATATATATATATATATATATATATATATATATATATATATATATATAAACATATATATATAATATATATATATATATATATATATATATAATATATATATATATATATATATATATATATATATATATATATATATATATATATATATATATATATATATATATACAAACATATATATATATATATATATATATATATATATATATATATATATATATATATATATATATATTTTATATTATATCTATATCTGTATCTATCTATCTATCTATCTATCTATCTATCTATCTATCTATCTATATATATATATATATATATATATATATATATATATATATATATATATATATATATATATATATATATATATATATATATATATATATATATAATATATATATATATATAAATATATATATATATATATATATATATATATATATATATATATATATATATATATATATATATATATATATATATTATATATATATATATATATATATATATATATATATATATATATATATATATATATATATATATATATATATATATATATATATATATATGTATATATGTATATATATATTATATATATATATATATATATATATATATATATATATATATATATATATATATATATATGTATATATATATATATATATATATATATATATATATATATATATATATATATATATATATATATATATATATATACGCATATACATTAATCGTGATAATAATTATAACAGTGGCAATATGAATATGAATCATCAATATCATTGCAATAACCGAACTGAAACATAGATGAACCCAATATAATATAAACAACCAGCTACCGGATCTCTCCCCTTTAACTCGACAGAAACCGGCGTAAAACCATCACGAGCTTGGAGCATGACGTAATCACCAAACGAGTTACAGACTTCGTTATAGATTTCGTTATAGCCTTTCGTTACGTATTCCTCGTGTGGGCCTGCCTTGCGTCCATCCAAAAGGGCTTGTTCTCGGGAAGGTGATTGGGGAACCTGGCCTCCACTTTGGCATTTATGGATTTCGATTACTTGGCCCGTTTTTCACTCGCTTTTTCGTTTTTTTTTTCGTTTTTTTTTTTAATATATATAGGATGGATACGAGGGAAAGGAAGATGGGGGAGGAGGGAAGGAGGGATGGAAAGAGGGAGGGAAGGAAGGGGGATGGAGAGAGAGAGGTTGGGGAGGGAGGAGGGAAGGAGGGAGGGGGGAGGGAGGGAGAGATGGAGGTTGGGAAGGAGGGAGGGAGAGAGGCAGGGAGGAAGGAAAATGGAGAGGGAGAGAAAGGGAAAAAGTGAGAAAGGAGTAAGGAAGCAAGTATGTGAATAGAAGAGAGAGAGAGAGAGAAGAGAGAGAGAGAGAGAGAGAGAGAGAGAGAGAGAGAGAGAGAGAGAGAGAGAGAGAGAGAGAGAGAGAGGAGAGAGAAGAGAAGAGAAGGAGAGAGAGAGAGAGAGAGAGAGAGAGAGAGAGAGAAGAGAGAGAGAGAGAGAGAGAGAGAGAGAGAGAGAGAGAGAGAGAGAGAGAAATAGATAGATAGATAGATATATAGAGAGATAGAGATGGATATATAGATAGATAGATAGATAGATAGGTAGAGAGAGAGAGAGAGAGAGAGAGAGAGAGAGAGAGAGAGAGAGAGAGAGAGAGAGAGAGAGAGAGAGAGAGAGAGAGAGAGAGAGAGAGAGAGAGAGAGAGAGACCAAACGATAGAGAGAGAGAAACAGACAAACAGACAAAGCGAGAGAAAGCGGGGGAAGAAGAGACACAACAAAACAGTCCTTTTATCGTTAACGAGAATGGTCGTCTTTGTTGATGTTTTCCTTTTCTTTTCTCAACTAGCTCCCATTAGGCCTAAAATGCCCTAGTTCCTAGAACCCGCAGGAATTATCGAGTCAAGAACATGCCAAGATTTTCCAACAAACATCAACATTTGGTGATTCTTGAGAAATTATTTTTCTTCCGTAAGACAATGAACGAAGCGTAAATCACAAAGGTTACAGCGTATTCTTCCGAAGATACGAATCGATGGACTGATGGACAGGTACAGTAATTGACTCGATAGGCAGGTGTGAGCAAGAGTAAATGGCTTTGAGGACAATTGAGGAGACGGTTTCCCCGGTTGATTAGATAACAAGAGAGAGGGGAGATGAAGGAGTAAATATAGGTAATCATATTGATGGAATATCTATTCATATAGACATATATTTATAGATACGTACATATGAATACATAGACAGACATCTAAACAAACATACAAACGCATAAACATTGTCACATGCATCACATTAACACGGATATGTGTATATATATGTCTAGCATATCGACTATGTATATGCATGTGTGTATCTATCTATCTGTCTTTTTGTTTGTCTGTCTATCTATCTATATATACATACATAAACACACACACAAACACAAACACACACACAAATATATATATATATATATATATATATATATATATATATATATATATATATAATATATATATATATATATATATATTATATATACACACATATGTATGCATGTATGTATGTATGTATGCATGTATGCATATATTCAGTAATAAATTCCAAGACCGGAATTAATTCGCTCAACTTATATTCACCCCAAATGAAAGTCCAAACAGATGCATGCATAAACACCAAGAATAAATAAGCAGACACATGCAATAAATGACGCGACCCGACTCACCTATCCTCAGTGACCGTGCTGAAGGACCAGAGGGAGGAGAGAGACGCTCCCGTCGAGTCAGAGGACTGTCCGGATTCGATTCCACCGTAGCGATGTTCGTTTGAGTCCGGTATGCCACCCGGGGGAAGGTCTGTCCAGGAAGGAAAATGCACGTGATGAGAATCCGATTGTGTTTATCCGGTTTATTGAGTTGGCTTTCACGTTCTGCATCTTAATGTGTTTATTTTTTGACTTCTCTACTTTTTTTTGACCCTGCGACTAATACTAATTGGTAAGTCATATGTTCATATTATTCGTTTACGTGAAAAAATATGTAATAAAGTTCAATTATTTGGCCATAAATTCAGTTCATTTCCTCCCATCGAGTCATTTCCTTGCCATATGAAGTCCAAATATCTTCCTAAAAGTGAGAAATGGTTCATATTCGTAAATATATTCATATACGACCCCCCCCCCCCTCTACCAACCACTCTCGCCCGTGCGATATAGATTTGGTCCTGTTGGAGTTTATTAGGTCATAAATCCACCTTTAGCGCGGGCGTGACAAAGCGAACACGGGCGCCCGAAACATCTCTGTCGCGAGGACGGACGTGGGCGGTGGCAGGGCTGCAGTTCTTGCGAGAATAGGAAAGAAAAGGAAGCATTGTTTGTCGCTGTTATGAAGTGTCAAGCATTCTTTTGGCGTGCGGAGTTTGCGTCTTGAAGGACACTGGGGAATATTATGCCTTTGGAGGAAAAAGAGTGGAGCGGGCGGGGATGGGGGGGGGGGCGAGAGAGACAAAGGGAGATGGGTAAGAGAACGTCTGTGTGTGCGCGTGTTTGTGCTGGCTTATGTGCTTGGGGGCGTGTTTGTGTTTGTTGCGTGTTTGTTGTGCATGTATGTATGTGCATGTATGTGTATGTGTGTGTGTGTGTGTGTGTATGTGTGTGTGTGTGTGTGTGTGTGTGTGTGTGTGTGTGTGTGTGTGTGTGTGTGTGTGTGTGTGTGTGTGTGTGTGTGTGTGTGTGTGTGTGTGTGTGTGTGTGTGTGTGTGTGTGTGTGTGTGTCGAGAGAGAGAGAGAGAGAGAGAGAGAGAGAGAGAGAGAGAGAGAGAGAGAGAGAGAGAGACAGACAGACAGACAGACAGACAGAGAGAGGGAATAACATTTACCCCTGCGGTAAATTAAACCCGAGATGGAACAAGATATTTCCTCAACTAAAACCTAAACCTTACACGCGAAGCACTGACTCAACACGAACATTCCAAGAAGAGCAACAGCGGCAATAACACATATCTTAACTGACGGTGACAAGAGGCACACATAAATACCTTCAGACTTGATCGGAAACCAATAAACCATAAAGTTTCCGGTAACTGAATTTTTTTCTCTCTCTCTGTTTCTTTCTACCGGCTTAATACTTCATCACTTTCTCCTTCAATCTCTCTCTCTCTCTCTCTCTCTCTCTCTCTCTCTCTCTCTCTCTCTCTCTCTCTCTCTCTCTCTCTCTCTCTGTATCTGTCTGTCTGTCTTCTCTCTCTCTCTTCTCTCTCTCTCTCTCTCTCTCTCTCTCTCTCTCTCTCTCTCTCTCTCTCTCTCTCTCTCTTCTCTCTCTCTCTCTCTCTCTCTCTCTCTCTCTCTCTCTCTCTCTCTCTCTCTCCCTCTCTCTCTCTCTCTCTCTCTCTCTCTCTCTCTGTCTCTGTCTCTGTCTCTGTCTGTCTGTCTCTCTCTCTCTCTTTCTCTCTCTCTCTCACACACACACACACACACTGACAAGCACACGTAAACACATGTATATGCATGGGAGATCCCGGACGCACAAACACCCTCAAAGGGAGAGAGGAGAGAGAGAGAGAGAGAGAGAGAGAGAGAGAGAGAGAGAGAGAGAGAGAGAGAGAGAGAGAAGAGAGAGAGAGAGAGAGAGAGAGAGAGAGAGATAGGAGAGAGAAAAGAAAGAGTAAGAGAGACATACAAAGAAATAAATGTCCACGGACTTGTATGTGTATTCCCCCTGTGCCTCCGTTTTCCTTTACTTCCCCTGAGCATGTGAAGCAGCAGCGCACTACATTATTTCATTCAGAAAGATATTTTCCAGTGGATAGAGTGTCCATGTATATGAACACTCTTTCAATTGTTTTTATTTAGCATGGCATATCCCCTCCGCCAAGTGTTCCCATACGAGTGTCATTTTCTTCTGCTGTCTCGGTTGTGTGGATGTGTTTTGTTGAATTGTATAGGAGGTTGCTATCAGGGCAGGAGTAATGTTCAGAGTTTGCAACATTGTCTTGGTGGAGGAGGAGGGAGGGAAGGAGGAAAGATGGAATGCAGAGTGAGTGGATGAAACTGAGGAGGAAGAATAACAAATGGAGGTCCGTTAGAAGAGGAGGAAATAAGTTTATGTTGTTTGTTCTTTGTACCATGTCTAATTTTGTTTATTTTGGTGAGAGTTATGGTAATGATGGTGGTGATGGGGAGGTGGGGTTGGTGTGGATAACGATGGCGATCGTGGTGGTGATGATGATGAGGAGGAAGTGGAGGAAATGATGATGATAATGAGGAGGATAATGACGGTGATAATAGTGACAATGATGATAATCATTACGATGATGATGTTGTTGATGATATCATGATGACAATTATGATGATGGAGATGATGATGATTATTAAACTCATTCTCTTTCTCTCCCTCCCTGTCTGTCTCTTTCTCTCTCTTTCTCTAACTGCCTTTTTGTTTCTGTCTGTCTATCTGTCTTTCTGCCCCCCCTCTCTCTCTCTCTCTCTCTCTCTCTCTCTTTCTCTCTCTCTCTCTGTATATCTGTCCATCTATTTATTTATGTATCTCTCCATTTCTCCATTCCCTTCCTTGTGTTCTTTCCTTCCTTCCTTCTTTCTTCTATCTTCCCTTCCCCGCACTCACTATTTCCTCCCTTCGCTTCACATTCCTTTCACGTTTCTATTCTACGTTTTTTTCCACCCCTTCCTCTTTTTTTTTTCTTTCTTTCTTTCTCTCCTTCCCTATATCACTGATCCTGCTTCCCTTCTCTAATCCTCTGTCTAAAAAAGAAAAAAAAAATCAATAAAGAGAAACAAAAAACAACAACAAAAAAAAAACATGCAAGGGGGAGAAGATCAAAGCCTTAAAAAAGGAAGAAAAAAAGTATATGGAAGATAGAAAGAAAGAATAAAGAATAAAAAAAGAAAAAAAAACTCTGACATTATTACAAATAAAGGTCATGATTACCCACAGAAATCTCTATGAGAAGCCAAATTGAAGAGTCCTTATGAATACTGCCAATTGGAAAAGGGAAGAAGTTTCTGAAAGGATCGTTTGGAATAAAAGTGCGTCTGAAGTGACTTGAAGTTATGGAAATAATGATGATTATAGGTCTGGTGATGTTTATCATCGTTATCTTTATTATCTTTATTACCACCATCGTTAAGATTATTATCATAATAATAAGAATTATTACAGCTATTATTATCATCATTAATGATAATAATAACAATAACAATTCTCATTATTACCATTGCCATTATTATTGATATGATCATTAACGTGATCATTAACATAATCATCATTATCATTATCATCATTATTATTATCATTATTGTTATTATTATCTTTAATATTATTATAATTATTGTTATTATTATAATTTTTGTCATTATCATTATTATTATTGTTATTATAATGATCATAATCATTATTATTATCATTATTATTATTACTATCATTATTATTATTATTATTATCATCATCATTATCATTAATATCATTGCTATCATTATCATTAATATTATTATTATCATCATTATCATCATCATGATCATTTTCATTATCATTATAATTATTGTCATTAATATCATCATCATCACTGTTATCATTATCACTATCATCATTACTATTATTATCATTATCATTATTGTAACTGCCGTTATTATATGTATCAGTATTATTATTACTATTACTATTGTTATTATTATCATTATTATCATACTTATTATTATCATTATTTTGATTATTATCATTACTATGATCATTATCATTACTATTATTATTATTACTATTACTATTATCATTACTACTATTATTGTCATTATCATTATTATTGTTATCATTATTATCATCTTTATCATTATCACTATTGTTATTATCATTATCATTACTTTACCATGATAATTTTTATCATTATCATTTTAATTGTCATCTTTATTATCATTATTGTTATTATTATCATTATCATGATCATTACCATTATCAATATTATTATTACTGTTATTACTATCATTATTAGCATTTTTAAATCATTAACATTATCATTATCATTATCAATATCATTATCATTATAATTACCATTATTATTATTATTATCATTATTATTAATGTTATTATCAATACTATTACTATTATAATTCATATTGTTATTATTATTATTATTTATTATATTATTATATTATATTATATTATTATTATTGTTATTAATATTATCATAATAATAATAATTATTATTATTACTAGTTGTTTTTGTAATTGTTACTGTTATTATCCATACCATTATAAAAATAAAGATGATGACGATAACAATGGTAATGATAATGATAATAATGATCGCAATAATAATAATCAGTCTTTCTTTACCAGTACTATTTGTATCATCATTGTCATAATCTTAATAATCATCATGAATATCATTATCATTATTATCATGAGCATTATTATCATCAATAATTTCCTCATCCCTGTGATCAATATCGCCATTATCATCATTATCATTTTGACAGTATTCATTATTAGTAATTTCATTATTAATACTAAACTTCTTATCGTCAACATATCATCATTATTATCATTATCATTATTATTTTTACTGTTATTGTTGTTATTATCATGATTACTACTATTTTCATAGCAATCACTATCATTATTATTATTATTATTTATTACATAATTAATTAATTACTTTTATAATCATTGCAATTATCATATATTAAATTCCTCATAATAATAATTGGTATAATAATAATAACTATTCCCAGTACGTAACAAAGACAATAGAGATAACAGCCTAACTACGCTTAAGATCAGTGAAACGCACAATGTAGAGAAGGTACGGTCGAAGGTACATAATGAACGCACCACTTTAACCAATA